CTCCGTCAAACAAAGGACTTAGAAATGAATCTGTAGCAGCCGCAATCTTTACTCAAATGCTTAGCTATAAACTGGAGGATTGAAATGATATCTCTGAGCATACATGGGTACACATCCCTCGACACCCACACTTTGCATTGTCTTTTAATCCATGAAGTGATCGGCTCTTCCTGCATTTTCCGAAATCATCATCTCCATGTCTAGGAAGTGAATTGAGCTATATAGTATTGCAGTGGGTCCTCTTTGCAGACTTCTAATGGACCTTCACAAATATTTTGGCTATTTTACAGGAAGGCATAGTGGACGTGTAGGCTCCCCGACGCGGTGAATGTGATATGTCACAACATGTCACACGGCGTAATCTGACCTCGACGTGTCGTCTACTTGCCCATAAGATGATTCTGAAACATTTGGAGAATTTGGAAGGCCTCCCCGAACACAAAGGCGCGTTGGAGAGTAAAAACCTCACCCTCAGAGTACCAAAAATAATGTGATGACTTCACACTATCCGACATGTGTTATATCCCTTGTAGAGACTGGAAGTATGTGCGAGAACAATCAGAAATGGGCGATAGAATGATCTGTAAAATTTCAAGACTTGTTTAAACATATATAATGGCTGTCTGTGCCCGTTTGAGACTGTCAGAATGATTTTCTGGCTCAACTTCTTGTTTGCTACCATTACGTGGTTCCTCCACATATTCGGAATGGATAATGGATCGAGAACACATCTCTCAGTAATAGCACCCTGTGGGACACTAGAAACTGATTTTAGAGCTCGTGCTTGAAGCAGGGGAAATATTTCGTGTCCTTGAGTCACGGGTCACATTGTGTCACAGTGTACATGATTTCGGTCGTTTTCTGGAATCAATGGGGCATAACTTGGAACACAGGTAACGGAACCCTCCGGAGTGACTTGCAATACGAAGTCGTATGCATAAGGGATCTGGCTCTGACACAGGGGATTTTTTCGAGAAGAAATAAATATCTGTAGTGCACCTCAAAAAAAGAGTGAAATAGAGCACTTTTGGAAGGCTTCAAACTCAATGAATATAGAGCGGAATATTAAAAGGTCTGGGTAAATGTTATAGCCAGGCGGATAAACTAAAAATTTCATCAATTGACCAAGAGGCAAGGTGGCCGAGATCTGGTACTAGAGGTCGATTTCTAGGTCCTCTGTTTGACGGAGTTTGAAGCAAGCCCCTTCTGACGAAGGCGTGTTTGGTTTGTTTGGCTTGGTCCGGCATCACTCGGCGTACGCGGCATTGTACGGCTTCGTCGGAACGGGGCTTGTTCCGAACCTACCGACCGCTCGAGTCAACACCAAGCGGCAGCGGCGTATACCCTCCGAATGATCGTCGGCGCGAGTTCCGGCGCATCTGGGCCCTCTTTCAATGCTATTGAGAGAGCGAATCGGTATAAAGTTGTGATGTGTATTGTCTTGCGGGTTCCCTTGTCTAGAAAATTGTTTATTTATCGACTCCCCGCGTCCCACACCAAGCGGGATCTTTGTTATCTTTTTCTTCCCACGCACGGTGCTGTGTCGGCGCGGGATACTGTAAGGTGATGCGAAGATTAGGTTGCTAAAATTCCCTTAGGCTTATTTATATGCCCCCGCTACCACAGGTAATGAATGTATTCAGGGTGAAATTCAAGTTGGAGGGGGGAAGGAGATGCGGTGTACGGCACACCGCTACAGTTGATTGTCCGAAACCGAAATCGATCAAATCATGTGCAGCCAGCCGGGTTCGACTCCCCGCGTCCCACTTGGGATAAATGATTTTTTCCCCAATCAACATTGCCACTGCTCTCGGCGCCCAACTCATTTCCTGGCGATGATGAGATTGAACCATTTTATTTGGCTTACTTTGATGACGGTGTCAGCGCCGCCAAGAAAGAGTTGGTATGGTCAGGGTGAAAATGCAGTGTAAAAGAGGGACGTGGTGTACGGTGCACCCCTGCATTCGCTAATTGGCTGATATCAGGAGTAGCATGATGCAGCAGGCCGGGGTTCGACTCCCCGCGTCCCACTTCCATCATTTCCATGCTTTGTTTTTTTCGGCCAAATTCATTTGGACAGGGCTCTCGGTTCGAATTCTACGCGATATAGTCAGGTTAAATTTGGTGTAGCGAAGGGGACGTGGTGTACGGGGCACCGCTGCATTTACTGATCCAGGCGTTAATTAGGTTATGCAGTAGGTCGGGGTTCGACTCCTCGCGTCCCACATCCGCTAATTGGAGCCTTCTTTTTTTATTTCTGTCTGTGGGACGCCGATTGCGATCTGCATAGCTGGATTTCGGCTTGCGTTCACGGATTATTGGATGGGGCGATGAGCATTCAAGAATCAACTATTTTATTTAGTGCTGTCCGGGACGTAAATCTGGTCGAGGTCCGCGCCGCCAGAACTCGAGTGTGTATTCAGGTTGAATTTGGAGGGAGGGACGGAACGTAGTGTATGGTGCACCGCTGCCTTCGGTGGAACGGCGTGCACAGATTATTATCCAGCAGGCCGGGGTTCGACTCCCCGCGTCCCACATTACAATTCGGACATGGCTTTTTCTCTCTCTCTCGCTGCCGTTTGACAAGATTCCTCGATGCTTGGAGCGCAGTAAGCTCAAATTGTGTGCTGACCGCCGCTGGCCACACGATTTGGGTAGGAAGAAGTATCTGGGCTCCTTTGCGTGCCCCCGCCGCCAAAGAGAGTTGACATACAGTCAGCTGGCTCATAATGCATAGGGTCCGTTCCCTCGAAACCACCAAAATCTGATGCATTATGAACACACTTCTACAGTGTGGATAGGTAGTTTGGTGGATCCCAGATCCAATGCATTCTGAGCATTATGCATTACCACCTTATGCATCATGAGCCAGTTGACTGTATTCAGGTATAAATTGGGGAGGGGAAGGGGACGTGGTGTACGGCACACCGCTGCATTCATTAATGTGTCTCTGCATAAGCACCATCATGCAGGAGGCCGGGGTTCGACTCCCCGCGTCCCACTTCCGTGATTCTATGCTCTTTTTTAGGCCAAGTTTATTTAGGCACAGCCCTCTGTTCGAATGCTATGAGGGTCCAAATGCACATTTATTCGGCTGCAACTTTTTCTTACGAAATCTTGTTTGCCGCAACTTTTTGGCCCGTTTTGATGACCATGCCGCAACTTTTAGTCCCTTTGGGTTGACCCAAAAAAGTTGCGGCAAAGTGCGTCCTGCCGCAACTTTTTTTGAGTGCCGCAACTTTTTTTTCAGGTGCCACAAAAACTTTTGCTGATTGGAGTGACATTGCTATAACTGTATACTGAGAGGTACAGGAACCTCAGGAAGCACGCCGCTATGGGCCATGGCCAATTATGAGAGGTGCTGCCAGAAATTGGACTCTCGGTACATGGGTGATGGGAGCAAATACCCAGGGTGTTGATGGGACGGCTCCTGATACACTCACGATTAAATTGAGGCATTTCCACACGTTCTGGGTCCTTGTCAAGGGAGAATGGGCTGATCATGGGATCAATAAGGTTCCCACGGTTTACTTGCAGTTCGGCCGATGCCCGAGCGCGAGCGGTTCGTCTGGTCGGGTTGGTCAGTTAGTTTACCAATGGTCTCCATGTAAACTATGAGTAGAGGGCATAGTGACAGCAGGTGGGCCAAAGTCCAGAGAGCTACGCAAGAAGGCCCAGAACAGATGTCAGATAGTGGATAGATTGACAATGACATATTCCACTGTGATACTGTATGTTAGTTGTTGATTCCATTGACCATGCCCAAGACCTCTAGGATAACCCTGCTCTGCGGAGGTGGTGTCGGGCACAGTGAGCCTGAGTTTACCATTGTGCCACAGCATGCTCCAGACACCCAGTGGATGGGGCATAGGGCAGGTAATCCTAATGAAGATTGAAATGGCCTGCACCATATGAATGTCCAAGAGAAGCTTATTGGGAGCTCAAACCTTGGTGAGTGGTAGCAAGGCTCAGTTCAGTGCAAGTTTGGTGCCCCCTTTAAAGAATGTCAATGCTTGTGGTCGGCTCGGGCACACTGAACCAGTTTGGGGCAGTATTTGAGCCTGAATTATCGCATCGGCCATCTCGGGCAGCCATACAGAACACATGTGAAGTAGCAGTCAGCCATACAGATCAGGGATAACTACCGGAATCAGGTCCTCTAATGATGATCTGTCCATGGTGTTCATCCTGCCTCTGAGTGTTCTAAGAAGGGATGTGGTCACTGGTCGCACGAGAGGCAAGTAAATACTGGACCATGGAGCTTAGGTAAGAGGCAGAGATCTGAGCTTGATCAATACACTATATCAATCTGGAAATCCTGTTTATTGCCCATGCATGACGAAGAGGTTGGTTCAATTCCTCAGTCCCGTATGTGAATTTCCGGTAACTTCCGAAGCCCGCCCGTGCCATAGCGGCGCACTTCCTGAGGTTTTTGTACCTCCCAGTATACAGTTATAGCAATGTCACTCCAATCAGCAAAAGTTTTTTTGGCACCTGAAAAAAAAGTTGCGGCACTCAAAAAAAAGTTGCGGCAGGACGCACTTTGCCGCAACTTTTTTGGGTCAACCCAAAGGGACTAAAAGTTGCGGCATGGTCATCAAAACGGGCAAAAAAGTTGCGGCAAACAAGATTTCGTAAAAAAAAGTTGCGGCCGAATAAATGTGCATTTGGACCCTCATAGAATTCTGCGCGATATACCGTGGTGGATGGTGCACCGCTGCATTACTTGATCGATTGTTGTTCAAGCACTATGCAGCGGGCCGGGGTTCGACTTCCCGCGTCCCACTTCCAACGCTTCAACTTTCTTTTTCTTCCTCGATTCTCTTTACGACTCTTTGTTCAAATTGTTAGTGCAGGGTGCGATTTTTGAAGCGCGGGTCCAATTAGCCTAACGAGTGGGTTTATAGAAATTTGGAGAATTAGCTCTGCGTCTGACTGTTTTGAGTGCCCCTGCTGCCGAAAAAGAATTGATATATTCAGGTTGAAATTGGAGGGAGGAAGGGGACGTGGTGTATGGTGCACCGCTGCATTTGTTGTTGGGGGTTGTAATTGCATTATATGCTGCAGTAGGCCGGGGCTCGACTCCCCGCGTCCCCGTTTGATAATAAATCCTTCTTTTTAGTTATCTTTTTATGGGAGGTTGTGGAGTGCGTCTACAATTTGATGGGATGAATTAACTTCGATGCTCGATCCTAATACTGTCCATTGACATAAGTGAAAGGAGCGAGTTTCGGAAGTTGCTGAGTCTCGGGTCAGAGCGTGCCCAGAGTGATAAAAGGAATTAATGTAATGAGGTTGAATTTGGAGGGAGGGAGGGGACGTGGTGTACGGCGCACCGCTGCATCTGATAAGTGGATCGCTGTCAGACTCCCTATGCAGCAGGCTGGGGTTCGACTCCCCGCGTCCCACACGCCCTATCCATCTGGCGTTCTTTTTCGCTCTCAGCCTTGTGGTGAGAATTTCGATTATATGTAGCTGCAAGAGTTCAAATGTCGGAGTTCGATTCTGAGTGCCCAGGAGCATAAACTTCTGGTGGGAAGAATTTTCTAGGCTCTTTCGCGTGCCCCCCGTGAGAAGTAATGGAGGTAACAATGATGAAATTGGAGGGAGGAAGGGGACGTGGTGTACGGTGCACCGCGGCATTAATTGATCCAGTCATATTGAGGGCATTATGCAGCAGGCCGGGGTTCGACTCCCCACGTCCCACATTACAATTTTGGTATTCTCTATGTTTCTCTCGGTGCCACTTGAAAAGATTCCTCGATGCTTGGAGAGTGGGGGTCATTCAATATCTTGTAATTCCGGGGTGGGGATGATGAGCATTTGAGAATGAACCATTTTATTTAGTGCTCTCCGGGACGCATGTTGTGCTGCTAGAAGTGAAGGATGTATCAATGTTGGGTTTGGAGTGAGTGGGAGGGGCGTGGTGTACGGCGCACGGTTGCATTTAATGGACGAAAAACGAAACTGATTCTGTAGTAGGCCGGGGTTCGACTCCCCGGGTCCCACATCGGCGATTTGGAGACCTCTTTTTTTAGTTCCGTCCAATTTCCGTGCCGAGATCGATCTGCATAGCTGGATTTCAAGTTGCATTCACGCAGTAGATATTAGGGGTGTGGATGATGAGCGTTTGCGAATGACCCTTTTTATTATTATTTGGTGGAGCTCTCACTGGGACGTACTTTGGAATCTGGCCAACGAGGTCGTGCCGCCAGAAGTCAGGTTGAAAATGAAATGAGGAAGGGGACGTGGTGTACGGTGCACCGCTGCATTTGATAAGAGGGGATTGCGTTTAAAGTTTGCAGCAAGCCGGGGTTTGACTCCCCGCGGCCCACTTACAGAAGGTGGTACCTTTTTATCCCACTCGGGATTTCCATCACTGTTGGTTCCACTCGCGTCCTGGGGATGATGAGATTGAAGCATTTTATTTGGATTGCTTTGATGACGATGTCCGTGCCGCCAGAAGGGAAGGATGTATTCATGCTGAACATGAGATGAGGAGGGGACGTGGTGTATGGTGCACCGCTGCATTCGGTCACAAAGCTTGCACAGCGAGTACCATGATGCAGTAGGCCGGGGTTCGACTCTCCGCGTCCCACATTCGAGTTCGACGTTCCTCTTTTTTCTCAGCAGTGTTTTTGTATTGGGAAGAGATTCTTTGCTGGTTGGAATGTAGGTTCAACTTGGCGGTTCGATTCGCAAGTGCACATGATTTTGGTGGGAAGAATTATCTGGGCTCCTTTGTAAACCCCCCGTGCTATAAGTAATGGAGGTAACGAGGTTGAATTTGGAGGGAGGAAGGGGACGTAGTGTACGGTGCAACGCTGCATTTTATAAAAGACGCTATATCAGTTCTATGCAGCAGGCTGGGGTTCGACACCCCGCGTCCCCATTCCGCTTGCACGGCACAACCCTTTTTTCTTCCTTGATTCTCCTTGAAAGCGGAGGGGTTGTTCAAATTGGCCGTGCAGGTCCGATTGTGCAAGCAAGGATACAATCAGCTAACGAGTGGGTTTGTAGAAATTCGGAGAATTACCTCTGCCTCTGTCAAGGGGGCCCGTCGCCCAAAAGGAATGGAGGTAATGAGGTTGAAATTAGAGGGAGGAAGGGGACGTGGTGTATGGTGCACCGCTGCATTATTTACCCCTGGCATTTCCAACTTGGTTCTGCACCAGGCCGGGGTTCGTCCCGCATTCCATATTTCCTGTGGTATCTTTTTGTCGTCCTTTCGTGAGACATACGATTGTACGCGATATAGTCAGGTTGGAATTGGGAGAAGGAAGGGGACGTGGTGTATGGCGCACTGCTGCATTTAATGCAAGGCAACATCCGCTGTCCCCATTACGCAACAAGTCGAGGTTAGACTCCCCGCGTCCTCCATTCAACGTTACGGAGATTCTTTTATTAAAAAAATCTGTTTTGGGGCAGTAGAGATGGCTTGGATGTACGTTTACAATTTGATGGGAAGAATCAACTTGGGTGCTGGGTACTCGATCCTAGTACTGGCCGTTGACATCCTGTAAAGGACCGAGTTTCGGGGAGTTAGTTGTTGAGTCTCTGTTCAGAGCGTGCCCAGAGTGACAGAAGGAATGGAGGTAATGAGGTTGAAATTGGAGGGAGGAAGAGGGACGTGGTGTACGGTGCACCGTTGCATTTACTGATCCAGTGCACCAACTTGGTTATGCAGCAGGTCGGGATTCGACTCCCCGCGTCCCACATTATAATTCTGGTATTCTCTATTTTTCTCTCCGTGCCACTTGACAAGATTCCTCGATACTTGGAGCGCAGTAGGCTCAAGTTTTGTGCTCACCGCCGATAGACACACGATTTTGGTGGGAAGAAATATCTAGGCTCCTTTGTGTGCCCCCGTACCAGATGTACTACACATACCCAGGGTGCAAACGGAGAGGAGACAAGGGACGTGGTGTACGGTGCACCGCTGCATTCACTGGAGCTTCTGAGTGGAATATGGCATGGAGTAGGCCGGGGTTCGACTCCCCGCGTCCCCATTGCCTTGTCGGTCTCGTTTTTTTCTTGTGAATGTTGTCTTCCCACCCAGTAGTTTTCCTCCACTGGCATGCCCGAGATAATCCATGCAAATGTAAGGTGTTCTCTCCAGTCTTTTTCTTTTTTTGCTGCAGAGGTGAGAGTGCAGTTGAATTTTGAACTCTGAAGAACGTTGTGTCTGTTTGCCTGCCCGCCGATCAATAAAGAAGGGTACATTTTCCTGCGCTGGTGGGAGTCAAGGCGAAAAAAGGGGGTACCCAGAGGATTGGGCCTATCACGAGCGATCGAATGTGATCGAATATGCGACCTCCGGCCTCCTTGAAAATTTAGACACTTGGGACTCGGAAATCGCTGAAGGTCAGAAGAAGTTGCCGCCAGCAGACACCCGCCCCCGCTGAATTCAGGTCAGTTAAGTTGGGCCCGGGGCCTCAGAGGCAACATCATGATGATCAGGGGACAACAGACGGAACGACAATCACCCACTGGCACAAGGTTCAACCTGACAGGCCTGTCACTAAAATAGGAGCATCCACCCCTCCAGTCCTTCATGCATGCGCAGCATGAGCCCAGCGCGGTTCACCAAAAGTCCTTCTTAAATGGGCGGCAGCCGGAGGTGGGCCCTGGCAGGAGTGTTCTCAAACGGATAGTCTGAGCAACTCATGAGAGTTGTGTAGACGGCTCCAAATCATGGCCCTAAAGAGTCTAGGCCAGTTGATACGGGGCCGAGGTGGAAGCGTGCAAAGTCTTTCTTGGTTAGTGTTGCCTCATCAAGTCCGAAAACCCGACGCAACCCCGAATCGCAGCCACTAAGTCTATCAGTAATTTTGTGACGAATCTAGTGGCGGTGCTTAAAAGGCTATTCAACACAGCCACTATTGGGCGTTGTTGAAAAACTGGCGACAAGGAAATCAACTCGCCTTCCGATCACCCTTTCAGGTTAGTAAAAACGATTACATAAGTATTCGTAACAGATGGCAATGGCAACGCCGAGTGGGAAAAATGAAAAAGCCGTTTCTCGCATCTGCCGGGAAGCGGGGAGTCGAGCCCCGGCCTGCCGCATCATACTGCTTTCTCTACTAACGAATGCAGCGGTGCACCGGGCACCACGTCCCCTTCCTCCCTCCAAATTCAGCCTCATTACATTCATTCCTTCTGTCACTCTGGGCACGCTCTGAACCGGGACTCAACAGCTCCGCGAAACTCGGTTCTTTCACTTATGTCAATGGCCAGTACTAGGATGGAGCATCGAAGTTGATTCATCCCATCCAATTTAAGACGCACTCCATAACCTCCCATCAAAAGGTAACTGAAAAAAGGTATTTATTATGAAAGGGGACGCGGGGAGTCGAACCCTGGCCTGCGGCATGTCATATCTTCGCAGAGCCCTCCAGTGAATGCAGGGGTGCGCTGTACACTCCTCCCTCCTGGATTCTTGCTTGGCGCCGGAGGGAGAGCTAGTTTGCCCGCTCCACTTTGTACTCCTCGGTCCGCGGATGAGAGCGGAGCCAATTTGAACCTATAGCTATAGATTCTGAGTGGGAGGGGGAAAATCGGCTCTCCGAGTGGGACGCAGGGAGTCGAACCCCGGCCTGCTGCATCAGGAAATTGCCTTTTCAAGTTTGGCAGCGGTGGACCATACACCATGTCCCCTTCCGCCCTTCAACCTCAATACATACTTGAATTCTTGACTTCTAGCAGCAGGGGCATCCAAATAAGCCTGAGGAAATTTTAGCAACCTAATCTCCGATTCGCCTTGCCCGGCGTCGAGACTGCACCCAGCCCTGAATCAAACAGGGACCTCTTGCTTTCAACTCATTGAGATTGCAGTTAAGGCAGAGACACACCATGTGCTACAGGAGGCCCATTGGAAACTAGATTACTGTACCTATGTGAGTAGAAGGTAGCTTCCCTTGAAGTTACAATCAGCTGGATGTCGACAGAAATTCAATGGTGGGCCCTGTGTTTCCAACCACATATCAAATTCACATTTGAGGCGGACGCGACTTCCGCTCATTACATAAATAAATACATATGTCAGACTGTTGAACAAGGAGCTCTCTAGAAAAACTACAGTGTCTCTTCAACTCAAACCAAAACTGGAATAAGTCCTATATCTTTCTCGCCTCCTCCAACTCCAATCTCACCAGCTTGTGTTCCTTTGTCAGTGTCCTCTGCCACGGCTACGATGGGTGCATTGAGGTGTGCAGGGCACGTCAAACTGTCCGTGGTTTCTTCCGGCACATTGATGTTGATTGTGGCAAGCCTTTCCTCAATCTGGGTAACTTGTTTCCCCTGGGATGAGCGTTGAAACAACGGTCTGGCGGTCTTCCAAAGCTCAATTGTGTTCAACACATCCCCGTGACCCTTTGCCAGATCACCAAGTCGGAGCATGCATTCAGCTCTGCTGTGATGAATATCCATCCATGTGAATCCCTCCAAGGCAACAGTAAATAGGGCTGTTGAAGTAGCACTATCACCCTCAGCTTGAAATACATCTCCAAGGAACTGGAGTGCTCGATGAAGGGCAATTTTGTCCCCCAATTTCTCTGCATATCCCAGATATACAACTGCCCAACCAGAGGTGTAGCGAAAATCACTTTCAGGCCAGCCTTTGGTGTTGGCAAAGCTCTCCATGCACAAGAGTGCACCTTGAGCATTATTTCCCCATGTCTGCCGCTCTCTCATGGACGCGTAACCTCGCTCGGGCCCTCGGATTAAACTTCCAGGACTCAAAGGTCGAAGGTCCCACAACCGTTCTCGAGTTCCTGGGCATCATACTCGACTCAGTTCGCATGGAAGCTCGCCTTCCTGCGGACAAACTTGCTTACCTCCAGGATCTACTTCTTCAGTGGGACACGGTCCCGCTGCACGTTACACGAGCTTGCAGAACTGACAGGCTACTGCTGTTCTGTTCCCAGGTCATCCCTTACTCCCGAGCTTTTCTCCGGTCCATGTTCGATTTTTCCTCAACCTTTAAATCTGCCTTCTCGCGCCGCCGGATCAGTCGTTCTGTCCGGCGTGACTTGAAATGGTGGTCTACTTTCTCCTCTTCCTGGAACGGCGTCCATTTTCTCCTCCCCAAGCGCCAGATCTTACACATCTTCACTGAGGCAAGCGGGACTAAAGGTGCGGGCGGTATTTTTGGCACTAGATGGTTCTCCTCCATTCGATTGCCCCGCCGTTACACCAACCGCGACATTCAGTTCAAGGAGTTCTACGCCATAATATATGCCATCTTGTGCTGGGGCGCCGAATTTGCGGGTCGTCATGTAGTTTTCCACACTGACAATCAGGATGCCGATTCTGCAATTCGCAACATCACCATCCGCTCCTCCACCACCATGGAACTCGTTCGACAATTCCTTGGCCTTGCCTGCCGACTCGACTTCACATTTGAATCCCAATGGCTTCCAACCAAGGAGAATGGCGTTGCAGATGCCGCTTCTCGCTTCCAATTCACGCGCATGTTCGAACTCGCGCCACATTTATCACCTACAGCCAGCTATAAAACTCTATCCCTATCAGACTCTGCCTTCAATCCTTCAGCTTCGCGTCCTTCTGCCGCTCTATGAACAATTCCTCTTCCTTTGGCCGCTTTCCTCGGTTCGCCTCTCTCGTTCTTCTGGCCCTCCGAGGCTGTTCCTTTTTGGCCCGTGTCTGCTGCCAGTCGAGGTCGCGCAGTCTCTGCCGCTTCTTCTGGGCTCCAGCGCGGTTGCCCGCTTTAGGCCACAATTTACATTGTTCACCAGACGACGCACAGCATAGAAGAACCGGTTAAATCCCATTTAGCCGCGGTCTATGCAGAAGGAGGAACCCTCACGTGATTTCTTTACTTACGCGCGCGCGGCGCGCTTTGATCTTTGTCTCTCTTCCTTCTACATCCAT